CAGGGACTGGGGTTTTGTTTTGATAGGTCGGACCATGTTTATGTTTGGAATAATATGGACTTGGGAGTTTGACTTAGGAAAGCACTGGAATGCTTTAAGAGCTACTTAATGGGCCAGACCAGTAGGAGCATGGAAATCAGTGCTGTTAAGAGCTATTTGAACTATGAGGGCCTAGCTCAAGAGGTTTCAGAGGAGCAGAATATTAATATATGGCCTAGAGATCATTCTTGTGATATTTTGGTAAAGAAATTGGCTGCCTTTTGCCCTTGTCTGAGTCTGCCTGAGACCAAAGTGAAAAGTTTTAGATTAATTATGCTGGCAGAGGAAATCTCAAAACAGCCGCATATAGACTCCGTCATGGGGTTTTTAGTGGTAACTCTAATGAAGGTTTATAATGAACAGGAGCAAACTGAGCAGAGTAAATTACAAAAAGTAAAATTTGAGGAGAAAAGGGGTACCAGGAAATGGAATGGAACTAAGTCCTATGTTCAAGAAGATAAACAGATTAAGAAAAGAATATAGGAAGTAGTGACCTCAGGGTGAGATCTCACTCAACTAAATTTCCAACCTGTGAAAAGGAATGAAAGCTTAGAGTTGGGTATAGTGGTGCATGCATTTAATCACAGCACTCCAGGGGCAGAGGTAGGCAAATCTCTGAGTTTGAGGCCAGGCTAGTCTACAGAGTGAGTTCCAGGACAGCCAGGCTTAAGGAGTGAGAGAAACAGAAAACTGGTGAAGTGTAATTGAAGGGTCTCTGAATTCAAGGTCAGTCTGGACTACAGATCCAGTTTCAGGACAGCCAAACTTAGGCAGTGAGGAAATCATCGAAAGCAGAAAGTTGGTGAAGATGTAACTGAATGAGAGGGCCATGTCGCAGCCCCAGTGAGCAGCAGAACCTGGCAGCTTTGGCCACATGGCTGTGGCATTAAGAAACGGGTTAGAACTTGCCTTCAAGTCTAAGGGAAGACTCTGAGACCAGGCATGATTCAGGGGTGTCCCTGAATGAAGGCCATTGTGTGAAGCTGTGAAGGTGAAGCCTGAATTGCCTTGGAGATCCCAGGATACTGGAGTTGCCATGGGATACCTGCCGAGGAGAGCTGGTAATAGGGGTGGAACCAGCCCAAGAGAGAGGTTTGTTGTAGTCAGCAAAGTTAAAAGGAATTGGAGATCTGAAGACTGTTCTGACACCCAACATGGAGAGGCAGAGTTTCGAGTTTTCCCAGCTGGTTTTTGGTTCTGCTTTGGTCCAGTATTTCCTTCCTTCTGTTTTGGATTGGTAATGTATGTTATATGCCATTACATGTAAGAAGTATGTGATCTTTTATTTTAAAGGAGATTGCAATTAAGAGGTTGCATGAATCTCAGAAGAGACTTTGAACTTCGGACATTCAAACATTGTTGAGGCTGTGATAGACTATAAGAACTTTTTTTTTTTTTTGTTTTTTGGTTTTTCAAGACAGGGTTTCTCTGTAGCTTTGGAGCCTGTCCTGGAACTCCCTTTGTAGACCAGGCTGGCCTCGAACTCCCAGAGATCCGCCTGCCTCTGCCTCCCGAGTGCTGGGATTAAAGGCGTGCGCCACCACTGCCCGGCCTATAAGAACTTTTGAAGTTGAACTAAACACATTTTTGCATTATGATATTGTTACAAGCTTATGGGGGCTAGCGAGTGGAATGTGGTAGTTTGAATGTAATAGACCTCCATAAACTCAGGGAATGGCATTATTAGGAGATTTGGATTTGTTGGAGTAGGTATGGCATTGTTGGAGGAAGTGTGTCACTGTGGAGGCAGGATTTGAGATCTCATATATGCTCAAGCCATGCCCAGTGTTTCAGACCACTTCCTGTTGCCTGCAAGTCAAGATGTAGGACTCTCAGTTGTCTTCAGCACCATGCATGCTTGCATGCCACCATGGTCCCTCCATGACGGTAATGGATTGTCTCTGAAGCTTAAGCCACCCAATTAAATGTTTTCCTTTATAAAAAAAAATCGCTGTGGTCATGGTGTCTCTTCACAGCAGTAGACATGGGCTTGACTGTGAGGTTTCTCTCTGCCTCTGTCTTGTGGATCAGATGTAAACTCTCAGCTGCTTCTCCAGCACCATGCCTACCTGCCTGCCTGATGTCACTCTTTGAGCAGTGATAATCATGACTTGTAACTCTGAGCTAGTCCCCAACTAAATACTTAATTTTATAAGTTTCCTTGGTCATGATATCTCCTTACATCATTAGAACAGTCACTAAGACACCTTCTCTCATGCACTGTGTCCCCATAACATCAGTTACTCTCAGATTCTGAAGTTCCCCACCCCAGGAGGGTTCAGTGTGTCAGTTCTAAGCCACAGGGGCCTCACCAGCCAGGGAAGGAGCAGCTACTTCTCCTTCCAGCAGGTGGCAACATTGCTTCTATTTTATTTTCCTCACCTCAGGATCGGGTGGTCAGGCTGAACCTCAGGGCGGGTTATAAGAAGAGTGGTGGCTCAAATCTGTAATCCTACCACCTGGGAGGCTGAGGCAGGGGGATTTGTAAAAAGTCCAAGGCCAACTTGGTCTACAAGAGCTAGTTCCAGGACAGGAACCAAAAGCTACGGAGAAACCCTGTCTCGAAAATTCAAAAAAAAAAAAAAAAAAGAGAGAGAGAGAGAGAGAGAAACCCTCTCTCAAAACACAGACAAGCAAACAAAAGACAAGGGGTACTGGGAAGTGGGGCATAATGTAAATACAGTAAGCATCTATAACTTTATTTTAAAACAACAACAAAACCAAGACAAATCAGTACTCAGGAAGCCAAGGTAGGTGGAACTTTATGAGTTCAAGGCCAGTCCGTCTATATAGCAAATTCCAGGGACTGTTACCACAAATAAAAAACTCAGAGGCAAAACAAACAAGAAATATACAACAAACAAAATATACACTATTGTCACCGGCTGCCAGGAGTTCCATTTCCTAAATACACCCTCATTTCTTAAATTTTTAGTTATTAGTTGTAATAGTATATATAGTGTTTGTAATGTGCGTGTGTGTACAGTGTTGTGCGATGTGTATGTAGTATGTGTACAGTGTGCATGTAAGTTTGTGTGTGTCTGTGTGTGTGCGTGCGCGCGTACAGCCTTGCATGTGTTCTGGAGTGCATTAGAAATCCAAGACAGTTTTCAGGGGTCAGTTGTCTCCTTCCATCATGGATTAAATGCAGATCATCATGTTTGGCACAAACACCTTTATCCATCTTGCCACCTCGCTGTCCCTGTGGTGAGGAGGGAACTAAGACAGGGTCCTCTTGGGGATGATAGTACAGCCTTTTTTTTTTTTTTTTTTTTTTTTTCCGAGACAGGGTTTCTCTGTAGCTTTGGAGCCTGTCCTGGAACTAGCTCTTATAGACGAGGCTGGCCTCGAACTCACAGAGATCCGACTGCCTCTGCCTCCCAAATGCTGGAATTAAAGGCGTGCGCCATCACTGCCTAGTGATAGTACAGCTTTTGACTCCACCGAATACTCATTAAAGGAGGGAAAGGGTGTCAGGTCCCTGTGAATATCTTCATTTCTGTGAGGGAAGGACTTTCTGAAGGGCCTGCCTCTGCAGCTGGGCTTTGGAATAAGAGGGGGCTAGGACTTTTGTGTTTCTTTCTTTCTTTTTTTGTTTGTTTTTTTTTTGTTTTTTTTTTTTTTTGTTTGTTTGTTTGTTTTCAAGACAGGGTTTCTCTGTAGCTTTGGAGCCTGTCCTGGAACTAGCTCTTATAGACGAGGCTGGCCTTGAACTCACAGAGATCCACCTGTCTCTGCCTCCCGAGTGCTGGGATTAAAGGCATGCGCCCAGCTGACTTTTGTGTTTCTGTGGAAAGATCGGAAGCCTGGAGTTGTCCTTTCCTTGAAGAAGAAGCTCTCTAAGTTTCCAGGTCACCCTTGTAGGTCAAAAAAACTAGAGTCAGCCAGGTGGTGGTGGCGCACGCCTTTAATTCCAGCACTTGGGAGGCAAAGGCAGGTGGATCTCTGTGAGTTCGAGACCAGCCTGGTCCACAGAGAAACCCTGTCTCGAAAAACCAAAAAAAAAAAAAAAAAAAAACCCAACTTGAGTCTTTGCTGCGCTTCTTGAGCTGGAAGAGACTTTTGTCTGGTCCTGACAGGGTCTTGTCGTTGCCCTCAGTGTATCTGTGAGAAGGTAGAAGCTTTAGGTCAGAGAGCGATATGAATCTGGGTCTTTCTACCTCCTAATTTTCCTTTGCCAGCCACTAACCATACCTATGGCTATTTTGCCTTTGAGTTTGGAGTTGAACACCCTATTATGACATTTTCTCCTCCACTGACACATTACAACTCTGCTCTACTTTGCAGACTTGGAGGGGGTCAAAGGAGAGGATTATTGGACTCCTGCTCCAACCAACACTGCCCTTCTTGGGGAGTCTGTTATGAGATGACCTAAGGTGGTGATTCACTGGCTTTTGGGGCTGAGAGAACAGCCAAGATGTTGCTCACCTGACCTCTCACTAACTGTGTGTTGGGGTGGGGAGGAGGCGCCTATCATCTAGTTGGTTTATCAGTGAAATGGAGTTCTATTGTAATGATTTAGATATTTGCTCACTGAGAAGCCCTATGCGAGGTTAGCATGCTACAGCTTCCGATTTAAAGATCTAAGGTTCCACAAGGAAATCAGTATCCTACCAGGTCAGGACGGAAAGACCAGAAACCCATATCCAGGACCGACGCCAAGCTGGGCCCTCTTGTCTATCCCCAGGCCCTTTGCTCTCCTGTGAACACTGAAAACCCAGAGCAGAGAGGACTCCAGTGTCTTCAGTGTAGCTTCTGCTTCGGACAAATGCTCAGTCTTCTAGCCCACTGTGGGCATGGAGAGTCAATGGAGAAATGAACAAGTTCATGAAGAGATCCCAGGACTGAGAGGAGAGTCAGCCCGTGTGTCCCTCCCCAGGACTCCCGTCCGGGCTCCTTGTGCTCTTTCCTCCCCACCCTTCCCTTTTCACAGAAGTGCAGGACACCAGAGGTACCAAAAAGGCAAACTGGACTTTATTATAAAGTTGGCTACAAAGTCACCGCAGCACCACGAGGTGGCCACCTGGGCAAGCCCAGGCAGTCTGGCGGCCGGGTGAGTCCTGCACCAGGTACACGCACTCGTGCAAGCACACGTGTGACGGCAGATCTGCCTTCCTCCATCGGAAAGGAATGTAGCGTCTCTTCGCGCCCCCCACCCAAGGCGCGGGGCGCAAAAGTCACAGGAAGGGCCGCCAGGGCGGCAGAGTCCGTCGGAATTGAAATCCCGTTACTGCTTTGTAGAGAATTCTACGTGGGTGTCAAGAGCCCCTCAGGGCACAGGCTAGCCCCTGGTGGGCCATGCCTTTCCCCCACCAAAATCCAGAGGTGGCTTGGCCTCTAGGAGTGGAGAACTGGCCCAGACCCATGGGACAGCGCGGTGGGGAAGTGAGACTCCCCCATTCTCCGCTTGAAATCCATTCAAGGAAGCTCACTACGAGTGAATACAGACTGAAATGGAAACTGGGATTGCTCGAAGTCCCTTGATTTTAAAAAGTTGCTCCCTCCCTTGCCCTCCCCCCTCCCCCCTAAGTCCTTCAGGGCCTGGAGAATCAGATATATCCCCCTTTGGCCCCCAGAATCCCCCCAACAGTCCCGGGGGGGGTGGAGAGCGGCTCCACGTCTTGATGACAATATGCCATACTTGACGACGTTAAGTCACAGACTTATTCAAAACGTTGGTTCCCCTCCACTTCCATCTGGAGAGAGAGAGAGAGAGAGAGAGAGAGAGAGAGAGAGAGAGAGAGAGAGAGAGAGAGAGAGAGATTAGTCAAGCCTATTAGGAAAAAGGGTCCTTGAAGGACTCGGGCTGTGTACAATGTTGATATACATTCTGGGCTTCAAAGGAATCTGCCAAATGAGGGAATGATCTCCAGAGTCGGCAGATGGGGCAATACGGACAGACGGAAGGGAGCTGTGGCTGCAGCTTTAGACAGCACAGGGCCACTGGGATGGAGCTAGGAGCTTGGCACGGACCTTTCTTTCCCCAGCTTCCATTAGCTGTTGCTCTGCATCCCCTTTAGAGGAAGCATTAGCTCTCATCATTTTTTCTATAACTTAAACAAAGTCTCCTTAACTCTAAGGCCTTGATTATTTTTGTCTAGAAAATAGGGGTGGTAACCAGTCTAGGTCCCTCACAAACTTTCAGGCTTTTCCTAAGGGTTGTCCATCACTTTATCCCATATCACCTCCTCTGGCCCGCCAGGTCTACTAATCCTTCTTACAGAGATTTGCATTGTCTTTGCCCTCACTGCCTACCTCAGTGGAAGATGATATTGTCCACTTAATAAAACCGAGGACTGATTCACCTAATCTGCCCAACATCTGACTGGAAGGACAGGGACAGGTGCTCTTGGACATGAGACTGGACTCACCTTCATGGAAGCTGTCTTGAACTTGGCTCTGGAGTTGATGCAACTCATCAGCAAACCCTTCGTAGGGGAATGTTGAGACACTTGTCTCAAAGGCGGTTTCATAGGTGGCCAAGTCCTCCAGGAAGCTGTGATCTTCTGGGGACAGGTTGTTGCAAGGTGACAGGGCCCCTCCTGGGACCTCTGTCTCAGGATCCCCTGAGCCCCATTCCCCATTGGGGTCTGGAGTAGAGAGATCCATGAAGATGTCTTCCACTGGCGTCTCTTCCAGGAATAAATTGTCAGGGTCAACCAGGAAGTCCAGCTCCTGGCATTTCCAGGGCTTCAGATCCAGGCTAAGCACAGGGGGTCCAGCCCCTGACAGGGACAAGTTGGGGTTCAGGGGCTCCAGCCCTCCGAGTGACTCCAGCCCCCCGGTGCCAGCCTCAGCTGAAAAGGGTCTGTCCATGCCCTGAGCCAACTGGCTGATCTGCTGGATGAGGCGATCTATCTCATTTTGCTCTTTCTCAGAGTACTGAAAGAAACTTTGCTTGACTGGAGAGGCCTCGGGTGTGAGCAGGCCTTCAGGCACCAGGGGAACATCCACAGAGAGGGGACCCCGGAGCTGAGCTAGGGCCAGGAGTGTGCAGTCCCCATTACCAGGGCTGCTAGGACTTGGGGGCAACTTCTCATAGAGAAAACTGCATCCCTCCTGGGTGAAGTAAGTCTTGGTAGGGTTGGGGCTCAGTTGCTCTGGGAAGGTTTGGCTGGGACTGTTCAGGTGTGCTTGGAACGCGGTGCTGGGAGGAGTCAGCTGCTCATGGGTGGGACTCCCCAGAGGTTCTGGGAATGTGGCAGTGCTGGGAAGTAGCTGGTCTGGGAAGGTAGAAGTGCATGGAGCCAATTGGTCTTCATAGCTTCTGGCTGAGGTTTCACTCAACTGTCCTTGTAGTGAACTGGTCAGTGGGTCTGGGAAGGTTGCACTGCTGGGTGTCAACTGGTCAGAGAAAGTCACGGTGCTTGGCGTCAGCTGTTCTTGAAGAGAGCTGGATGGAGTGGGCAGGTGAGTCTGGAATGGTTCGTGGAGACTGAAGAGGAAAGCACAGCCCCCTGGCTGATGGGGCGTGTAAGGTGGAGTACACACCAAATCTTTGCTTAGCTCTGCTTGGAGAGAAGGCTCAGGCCTCGGAGGGAATGGCAGGTAACTGAAGTCCAGCTCTTTGGAGGGTTGGGGAAGCTCTTCTGCTGTTGAGATCACACCTAGCTCAGGCGCCCTGGGGAAGGTAGTGCTTCTGGAGCGTCCCAGAGCTGGCATAAAGAGTGGGTTAGAACACTGCTCCTGGGAGAAGACATTCTCAGGGAATGAGGGTAGGACAGCTGGGGTTCCCAGGACATATGCAGCCTGGGTATCTTCAGAGTTTAGCTGCTGGCGGAGGCTCCAGGCTTCCGTGTCACTGGAGGGGAAAGAAGCAGAGGCTTGTAAGGCTTTGCTGTCCATTATCAAAGTCGTTTTCTGAGTTGCATTCTCTCCATGCTGATCTCAGCTCCTCCTCCCCTCTCCACTGTCCTGTATCTTACACCTTACCTGATAGGGTAGTTATTGGCAGTAATAGGGCCTTCTGGACCTTCTGAGTACAGCATGCAATAAATCCATGCCCAGCCTCCGTGCTTGGCTTGAAGTCTCACTACCATTTCTGCCTGGATATCTCCATTTTCAGCCACTGAGGAGAAAGAGAGATACAGGGTTAGCAAGCCCATCAAGTAGCACCACTGACACACCCACCTCTCTCACCTCTACACTGGATTGAGGGAAGTGTGAATTTTCTCCCTTACTACCCTGACCTGCACCTCTAGGCTGCCCACCTTGACCTTAGCGATGTTTCTTAGCTGTGTCCTATGTTACTTTGACTTCTCACCCCAAAATTGACTCTCTAGTCTTCAAAATTGCAGGGCTCAGTGTCTCCTCAACGTCAGTGTGGAGCACAGCCCTTCCTGGCCTATGTCCCATGCCTTCTCCCAGCTTCCTGTGTTATCCACAGTCTCTCAGGACACTCACACAGGCGGTAGTGTTGAGAAGAAGCGTGGGCCAGGTCCTCAGGGTGTAGCAGTCCATACCATGACTTACAGAGCAGTTCGCTGCGCTCAAAGCCCAGGTAGATTAGGACACTGGGAAGGTGGAAAGGGTGAGGTCAGCTTTCTGTTTTTCTTACTTGATGCATGCACTTCACTCCCTCCCAGGTTCTCTGCCCACTTAAGCCCCATTCTCCCTGTCCTGAATCTAAGGCCAAGAGTCTAAGATGCCCTTCCTTCTGCCCTCCCTTCTTACTGGAGTTTGAAGCTCTGGGCTTACCTTTCAGAGATGTCCAGTAGGGCTAGGTCCTTAGCATGCCGGCTCTGGAACATGGCCAGGAAGAGTGAAGCAGGACCAGGGCCAGGGCCAGGGCCAGGGCCAGGGCGGGGTCGTGGCTCCAGTGGGGCACAGAAAGCTGTGAACACGGGGTTTCCTGCCCAGTAGGCTCCAGGTAGATGAGCGTGGAATCGGCCTCGAATAAGCACCAGTTTGTTGCCTGCACTCTGGCGCCGGAGGGACTTGGAGGTGTTGAATCGGCAACGGAAAAGACGATCTAGGTGAGCAAAAATAAAAACGGACTAAGAGAGTGGGCACCAGAGGAAAAGTAGACGGTTGGCACAGGGGGGCACAGGGGTGGGCTGGAGAGTGGAGAAGAAGCCCGTACCAGCATCCAGAGCAGAGGGCATGGTGAGCTGCTGGCGAACAGTGAGATGGTCAGCAGGGTCAATGATGTCGTAGATACTGTCACCCTGGGCAACCAGGTCCACCTAGAAGAATGAAAAAAGAGGTGATCATTAGTGAAGGCAGTAAGAGCCAATCTATGACCAATAGCTTTTCTCAGGGCAGAATACCCCCTCACACCTCCAGGAACTCTCAGTTTCTCGGTAAGGGAAAGCTCATTTTATCCCACATATGCCACAACCCGAGAAGCAAAGACTTTCAGTACTCACCATAGAATGGCCCAGATGCTCGCTCACACTTTCAGACAGGTATAGCAATTTCCCCTCAGCTGTGAACACAAGCAGAAATCCAGGTAGTGCTGCCACGATGTCTTCAAGCTCTTGAGCTGAGAGAAGCCCCGTGGGGCCAGCCAGAGGAGTGCCTGTAGGGCGAAAATATCTGGTGAGTCAGGGTAAGACTCGGGTACAAAACAGAAATGAGGAGGGCATCATCTGAGTTGCAGAGAAGACAGGAAATTCTCGCAGCAGACCCAGCTCTGCAAACACCTGTTGACCCTATGCTTGTGGATTTTGGCCAAGTAACCTGTTGCTCAAACTATCTAGCCAGGGAGCCCTCAGACTTCCGAGCCCCGCGGGAACCTCCGCAGCACTGAGCGATCAGCACTGTGGACAGAGCTCCCCCGAAGGGATTGGAGTTCAGCACCGCGGACAGCACTCCTCGGAAAAAGACTGTCGTTTTAAGTACCGCGGACAGCGCGGGTGGGCGTGCTGGTTTCAGAACCTCGGACAGCACCCCAGAGCGGAGAAAGACCCTCTGCATATCCTAGAACAAGCTGCTCTCCCCAGACTTCGCCTTTGCAGGCTTTTCCTGCAGCTTGCCAGGCTTCCTTCCGTCCACTCTCCGGGTTCCTGAAGTGCCTCTGAAGCAATGGGAACCTAGACCATTCTATTTTAGCTCTCCATATTCCACAAATCTGGCTAGAACCATCATCAGTCAGGCTAGTTTAGACAGAGCTCAGGAGAAAAAGTAGGAAGTCTGGAGTCCCCTCAAGTCCCTTCTCTCCACAGTCTTCCACTACGCTGTCCTAGACAAGCGGCAATTTCAGCGCGTTCCCTCAGCTCCTACATCCCTGGTCCCTGTTGGCTATAGTCTCCTGGTAGCCCAAGCTTGCTCACCTCCAGCAAAGAAGACACCCTTGCGAGTGTAGATGCAGGCAAGACTCATAATGTGCAGGTAGGACAGCCGGACCTTGTCCGCTTCAGCCAACGGCAGCAGTTCCTTGAGGTTCCGGATCTCGGCGTTGATCTGGTCCCGGCGCGCCTTGGAGGCGCCCTTGGTGGATCGGTACATGACTGCCGGCTGTGGAGCTCCAGCTCCGGCTCCCGAACACCTGCGATCCTGTCCCGATGCACCGGAGGCTTCTTCCTTGCTTTCGCTCAGGCTCTCGCTCGCTCCCGGCTCCACTCCTGGGCTCCGCTCGGTAGCGCTGCCCCCCTCGCCTGCCTCGATCCGCCTTATATAGCTCCTGGCAGGCGTGGGGGGCTCGTTTTAGAGACGGGGGGGGGGAGCGGGAGGCGGGAGGCTGGGCTAAAGCAAGCTGCAGCGGGAGCCACTGGCTGGGGAGGGGGGGCGCTCCTCCTCCCTCCCTGGCTTCCTACGTCATCTTGTGACGTAGAACAGGAGAGGGAGGGGGCGGAGGAGAGGGGGGAGAAGAAGGCTGCGGAGGGGGCCGGCTGGCGAGATCTGTGCAGAGCCAGGCAGGGAGTGCAGGGACCCAGAATTCCTATTGTATTCTATTGGGAGGAGGGATAGTGCACGGGTTAGGGTGGTCTGAAGACCTTGGCAAGAGAGTTTGTAGAAGGACAAGGACGGGCTGATACCAACACTGAGTTTTCTAAGGAGGCAAAGGATAGGGAGGGGAAGGGTCTTCTGCGAATTTGCCCCTATTTGCCAGGCAAAGGTCAAAGTCACGTGAGAAACTTTCCTTGGCTTTGGGGAAGGGGTTAGGTCACATCTGGGGGTCTTTTCTAGGGTCTATTCAATCTGAAAGCCCTTAGCACTTTCAAATAAATAATCCCCTCCTCCCCACCAAGCCCTGGCCTGAGGGTCTAAATCTCTAGGATAGAGTGGAATGGTGGTCCTGGGGGGAAGAGACCAGTTGAATTCGGCCTTGACCTTATATCCCGAGCAGCACAGGAAGACAAACATCACCTTGTGATCTGCAGTGATTCTTCATTCCTTTATCAGTTAACCTTGGCCATCTGTGGGGGAAACTGAGGCAAGGACCCAGGGCCTGGTGAGGATCTGGGTCTGCATTTGGGCCTCCCCGCACCCTCTCCAGCTTGCCAGCCCCCAAGGCGAGCTGTTCCCCCGCCCTCTTGCAAGCCCCAGTCTTCGGCGGGCTGGGGGCGGGGGCGGGGCTGGGGGAATCCCAGCTCCATATTAGGACAGGAATCCTCCGGCGGCTGCGGCTGCGGCGGCGGCAGGCGGGGCCTAGCGGCCTCCGCACTGTTCGGGAGAGCTCCCCCCACCGCTTCAGCGGGGAAGAGGGGGAGGCAGCCAAGAAACCAGGGTCTGCTGGGCCTTCCGTGATTACAGCACCTACCCAAGACCCTTATTTTCTGCCAAGCTCCCCTTCCCATCTCCCTCCGGTTCTTGCTCCATTTTTAGCGCCAAGACTCCTCATTCTGTCTTTCCACTTTTTACTCTCTCTCTCTCTCTCTCTCTCTCTCTCTCTCTCTCTCTCTCTCTGTGTGTGCGCGCGCGCGTGCATGCACGTGTATGTGTGTGCGTGTATGTGTGCTTGTGTTTGTGTGTGTGTGTTTCCTTTTTCCCCCCTTCCTCCATTGAATGTTGGGCAGTCTGTCTTGGTTTTGAGGACTTCCCAAGCTCCTGAAAACTGCACCTTTGATTAAATTATCTGTCTTTGTCCAGCTTATCTCCATAGGGTGTCCTTCCTAGTCACTGTATACAATTGCTCTCTACACAGGGAATGGGTAGCCTCATGAAGGAGAAAGCAATGGTCTATGGAAACTTTTTGCCTGAAATCTCATTTAGAGTAAGCACATGTAAAAACACTTTTAGGGCCAGTAAAAAGAAGACCAATTTAAAAAGTTGAGTGAGAGGGGCAGTCGTGGCTGTAGAAAGTCACAGAGGTAGAGATAAATTTTGACACCAAAGAGAAAAGTTCGTGGTCAAGGAAACCCCCATTCCTCTTAGTAGGGGTGGTAGCAAGAGAAGCCATGTGAGGAAAAGGAGTGTTGGAAGAGGATGCCTGCAGGAATGGGGCTACCGATTAATGGTAGAGCAAACTTCTAGCATGCTCAAGGCTTGAATTCAATCCCCAGTGATGCCAAATGCAGTGGGGGGGGGGGAGAAGGAAGAAGTACATGGTTGTAGAGACCCTATCCTGATGTTTTGTACCATTTTGATAGAGACTGAAAACATCCACTTAAACCATCATGTGGCAAGTGGATTTGCTTGTTTCTCAGTACTGAGGATGGGACCAGGGCTTTGTGCATGCTGGACAAGCATTCTATTACTGAGGCTCATCCCTAGCCTTTCTTCCTCACAGACAGATGCTTTAAGCCTTGGCTAGGAGACATTCTTGGTATCTAAGTTGTGTCTCTCTCCGGGGGTCCAGCTAGTCTCCCTCCCAAGCAGTTCGAGCAGCCCGGCTGTGATAACGAGGGGGATGGTGGCCACTGTCCGTGGTGCTGAATATTGCCTTGCCAATCAGATTGGCCACGGCCTACCTGTTAAATCAAAGCAGAGGTGGGCCTCAGGATAGACCAGGGTGGCAGGAAGCAGCTGCCATCCTCTTTCCTAAAAATATATATGGGCTTTTTACAGGGATGGGGGGGTCAAGACTCCTGGGCTCTACGAAATAGTTAAACTAGGCTTAAGAGAGTTAGTTAGGCTCAAGGGAAGAATCCTTAGGTTTTTCCAGGAGAATGGACTAGGGATAAAGAACTTTGGAATGGGAGAAGGGTCTAGAAAGGAACGAGGGAGGGGTGGAGGAGGGATCATCCTAGTTTGACTACTCTGATTCAAGTTGAGAAGCTCTGTGTGCCCCCAATGTCTCCTCTCCCTAGGCCAGCTCCTTCTCCTCTTGCCTCCCACCTCCACGAAACTATTTTTAACTGTGCAGAACCAAAAATAGCCTGGCAGCCGCTTCAGGCCGTGGGAGAAGAGCTATTTATATCACCAGTGACGGTTCTGAAATAGCAGGCAGGAGGAGGGGGCGGCTGGCACGCTAGAGAGCTCCTGGCCGCTGCTAAAAATACTGTCAGTGTGAGTCATCCTGGCCTGGCTGAGTCACCCCACTCTCCCCCCCCCCAAGCGGCAGGCAGCAGCAGCAGCAGAACAGAATTGGAAGTCTGAGATGGGGGAGGCATCACAATCTTTGGTTATGGGAAAGTGGGCAAGGAGTGAGTTGGGAAAGGGGCTTTGGGGTCTCTCTCTCTCTCTCTCTCTCTCTGTGTGTGTGTAGAAGGAAAAGGTGGGGGTGTATAAGAGACTCCCAGCACTTACTGGGTGAGCATGCAGCATTTGCAGCTCTGCTCTCCTGCAATAGGATGATTGAGCAATTGAAGGGGAGATGTGTGTGTGTGTGTTGTGTGTGTGTGTGTATACTTGACTGAAGCTGTGTTGCATGTTCTGTGTCTGCATCCAAGCCTATCTGTCTGAACACACTTGTCTATCTGCATCCATGTATCTGTTTGCATGTGTTTTGTAGCTGGGGTCTGCATCCTTGCATGTCTACACATTTGCCAGTACCTGCATTTGCATTTTTTAATCTGTCTGTGTTTTTCTAAGTCTCTACCTTCCTGTGTTGCATGCAGTTTTGTATTTTGTGCTTACATTTACTTGTTTTACAGCTCTCTGTGTGTCTGTGTCCATATCTGAGTTGGCCTTGGGCCTTTTCTCACAGAATTAGATGGTTTGCATAAACTGCGTGCTTCCTGAGACCCTTTGCAGCTTCCCTTGCCCACTCTGATACCATGTTTTGTTGTTTTGCATCATCTACCCTTTGCCCATCCCTCACCACCAAGCATCTCTCTTTCTAACTCTCAGCCTCTAATTATTTGCAAAGGCCTCTCTGCTGCATGCAGTCTCTGCAGTGGAGAAAAACAACTTCATAGGAACACTCCCCTTCCTCTGGAACCATCCCGAATCTTCTCTGGCCTGCAGGAGTATGTGGTTTTTCATCACTCCATATTTGGGGAGCTGAGAGAAGGGCTTTCTTTAGTTCTAAAAAAAATTGCTGGTGTGGGCACAGGCATGTGTAGCACGCACATACACACAGAGACACACACACAACTGAGAGAATGAGAGAGAAAAAAATATCAAGGTCCCTTCTTTACTGAGCAGAGCTCGCATCTGTTGCCATGGAAACCCACCCACTCCTTCCCCGAAAAATCACCAAGAAGAGGTGATGGCAACGAGAAGGGATTGGCTGATTCCTTTCTCTATTTTTTCCGAAAAAGGCCTTTTTATAGCAAGAACAGGCCATGAGATTCCTTGCCCCTGTCTTGCACAGCTTCACTGGGACCCTAGAGGGACATCACCCCTCAACCCCTATTAGAGAATAAGTGATGTATCTTTTTCAGAGATTTTTCCAAGAGAAAGACCTCCTGAGGAGTTGGAAGGTGGGTGGAGGATTTGGTTCTTCAGAATATCATGGAGACTCCTGGCTGCTTTTTCTCAAAAATTGGAGCGAGGATGTTGATAGAGGATTGTCAGTGTGCGTGTGGTGTTTGTCTGCACAAGTGTGTCTATGAGAAAGGGAAGGGGAGATGAAAGGAAGGAGAGGGAGGGAAGGGAAGAGAGAGAATGAAAAAATGAATGAATCACTTGCTAGGGCTTCAGGGAGGAAAAGGTGCCGAGGGATGTGGCATTCAGAGATCATGTGAGCAGAGAGGAGAACAAGATGACAGCTTAAACTAAATGATGCAATGAATGGCTGCAAGCTCCCTTCATGGAAGCTCCAGGAAAGCTGGGACTAGAGCTGGCCAGGAGAACACAGAAGCTTACTGCTCCTGACTGGAGTGTCAGTCTGACTCTCAGCGGCCTCCTGCAAAGCCTGGCCACCAGCCACTGCAGCCATGTTGCTCTCTCAAGTGAACTCCAGCACCCTGCCAAATGGCTGAATGGTAGAGAGGAAGAGAGATTCCTTGTTTCCTCCTTGGCTTGGCTTGCTCCAGAAATGGGGTCACCGAGGACTGTAAAGCAGACCAAAAATCTGACTCTATCGAAAGATGCATCTCCATCCTAGAAGGCTATCACCACCCTTAGCAAGCAAGGATGTGGCCTATATGGTAGACTTAAAAGCTGCGGCATAAGGGATGGAGGAACTTGATGTTTCTCTTAGACATTTTCTTCTTCATTTATTTACCTATCATGGCAGGGACATACAGGTGTCATGGTGTACATGTGTGGAGGTCAGAGGATAACTTTCAGAAATCAGTTCTTTCACTTCATCACATGGGTTCTGGGTGGGGATCAAACCCAGGTCATCAAGCTTGCCAGCAAGGGCCTTAGCTTTCCGAGCCATTCTATCCGCCCCCCCTTAGATACTTTCTCAGGACTAATATGATTAGCATTATTGTGTTCATTATATAGTTGGTGAAATGAAGACCAGAAATGGATAATGACAAAGTCACACAGCAAAGTGCAGGCAATGCTGTGCTTTAAGCTAGCCCCCCCCCCCCACTGAAATTTATTCTCTTGCCACATTGAACAAAAGTGGGACCTATAGATTATGGCCCCAAATAAAGTCTGGTCCACTGCTTATTTCTACAAACAAAGTGTTACTAGGACAGATCCAAATCCATTAGTTCACTTATGAATGATGCCCATCTTCACACAGCGACAGAATGATGTAAATGCAGAAGGGACCAGACACAGGCAAGCCAAAATGTCTACTACCTGCCTCTTGACAGAAAAGGCTTGCCATCTTTAGAGCAGAGACAAGGAAGCAGCTCTGTCCCAGCCATCCCCCGTCATTGTCTCTCTCTGTAAAGATCTCTGGTCTCAGAACAAACCACGCTGTCACTTCATCTCTCTTTCTTAAGAACCTGGGAAGTCCTTACTAATGTCTAAAGACCATGAATGCATGGCTCTCCCATACAGAAGAGATTCTGCAAACCCCACGGACAGCATGAATTCCAGCTGGCAGTGAAGAGGCAGCTTACCCCACCCATCTTAGTCTCTTTGGGACTGCATTTTGGGAAGTTTTTGTTGTTTCATAGGGAGGTTAAGTTGTTATCAGGAAGACCAATTTTTCTTTTTCTTTTTTTTTCTTTTTTTTTGGTTTTTTGAGACAGGGTTTCTCTGTAGCTTTGGTGCCAATTTTTCTTATAAGGAAAGATGAGCATACTATGAGATATCAGGCTTCCTGCTGTCTCTAATCTGACTCAATGGCAGAACACGCACCTTCCCAGAGAGGGCGAGCAACAAGCCAGAATGAGATGAACTCAAAACTAAAAATCCATGTTTCTCTGTTTCCACATTCTTTCTGTTTTCTTTTTAAAATCTAGGTTTTCTTATATCATTCTTTGGAATTGGTGGACTTGCAATCCCATAAATGTTTTCCAGAAGGTTCTCTGGCAGTGCTCAATCCTGTCATCATGGTGCACCGCCTATCTGACGGAATGCTAGCCCTCAAGTAGAGCTGGCTTGTGAAGCATCGAGCTGGCTTCAGCTGCACCCCTATGGGCTGTTTTCCTTCTCCTCCGGCCTTTTCATTGTGAGATCACCCCCTCAATCCTACTTGCTCATAGAAGCACTTAGAACGTTTTATCTATTTATGGTTATGAAATCAACAAATCTCATGTGAAGAGGGTACATGCTGGTACCCACGCATGGAAACGGTCAGAGCCAGGGAAGTGGGCTGGGCAGAGGTGAGGGATAAGGAGGGATAGAGAGGGTAGGAGTGGGGAGACTAGAGCCTGGGTGGAAAAACTGTAAGGTGTCTGGGCAAGGCTTGTGGACAGGACTGATGGAGGGGGCCTTCTCCAAGGAGGGGAGAAAAACTAATTCGCGAGACACACTTTAAAAATTTAGACTAGGCCCCCCACTGCCTCAGTGGCCTGACCCCAGCCCTCTAGATCTGGGGCCTCACATACTGTCTGTGATCTTCCTCAGCAGGTGAACTCTTCCCTGCCCCAGTGGTCTGGTGATGACTACCACATCCCTGCCGCTCTCACAGCCCCGCCTGTACCTCTTCCTTACTGCTCCTTACTGAGTGTGTTCTAGCCTAACCTCAAATCCAGTATATAGCAGAGGATGACCTTGAACTCCTGCTCCTCCTGCCTCCACCTCCCAATGCTAGGTGTGCGCCTGTTTTGTTGCTTGTTCCTTGTCTACTACCCCATCCCCTGCCACCATGTTGCCACCACAGGACTGGGCAGGAATCAGGGACAAAGTGGGTGGATGCGATGCTCACGACATGGCCAGCCTCTGTGGTGGATGCTGGCAGTGGGGGAGACATGAGCCTGGCTTTAACATCATGGGGCCTCCACGCTGGTAAGAAGATAATGCTAGCAAGCCATATGAATGAGAGATTGTCATGGAAGAAGCATCCGGGGTACTTGGGCTGAAATATAAGGGACAACCAAGCCTAGGGAGTTGGCAGTGGGCTCCCTAGGGAGGTGTGTTTGAGCTATGTTGTTGGGAGTCAAGTGGACAACTGACTGGTTGTGCTGGGCGGGGGGAGCAGGGTGGAATGAACTGGAGCATGGTCCTGAGGCTTTAGAAGGTGTGGTGGGTCCTAGTGGTAGAAGCTAACAAGTGCATCAGTTAGGTGGACACCAGGCAGTGCTGTAGGGGAGCTGGCCCCCCACTTTAACCCACAGCTGTGGCTTCAGGAGCTGTGCTGGGAACAGGCCTGAGATGAGGTGACCAAGGTGCAGCCTTTAGCCACCATGGCTGTCAGAAAGTGTGAGGAGCAACCCAGACTCCTCCCAGGCTGTGCTTTGGTGACCCAGTCTCCGTCCTGCCCTTCCCTCTTTTCTAGCTATGGCCAGTTTCTGGCATCCTGTTCTCTGCAGCCCGTGGGCACACGCAAGCCCCTTGCCTCTCTCTACACCTGACTCTCATTATCCCCATTATCTCAGCTCAGCTATCACCACAGAAAGTCTTCCCTATCAGCCCAGAGCTCCAGCTCTAGGTTCCCTGACATCTGTGCTTCTGTCACCCGTCATGAGAGGCAATTTTGACTTTGTCCTATTGATGAGTTGGTCGCTGTCTTCCCTGGCCTCTACTGGAGCCCCTGGGTAGGAGTGGTCTGCTTTGGGAGCAAAGTACCCCTGTATATTTGTAAAAAACAAACAAACAAACAAACAAACAGAAAAAAAACTAGGGGCTGGAGAGATGGCTCCGCAGTTAGAAGCACTGACTACTTCTTCCAGAGGACTCAGGTTCAATTCCCAGCACCCAGCTCACAACTGTCTGAAACTCCGGTTCCAGGGGACCTGACACTCTCATACAGACACACATGCAGGCAAAACACCTGCACATAAAATAAAAATAAATGAATTATTTTTAAAATTCTAAAAGACAGAAAGAATTGAGATACATTTCTCGGTGGCCAGAAGACTGAAAGGGGTTGAGGGGCCAACAAGAAATGGAGCTTGCTACTGAGACTAAGAACCTGAGTTCAATCCCCAGGGCCAGCATGGTGGTAAGAGAGAACTGACTCCCACACACTGTCCTCTGACCTCCACACACAGACCATGGTGCACGGCCACCCACACACGTGCACACAAAATAAACAAAAATGTGACTGAAAAGACAACAAGAGGAGTTTGAACAGACAGAATTTTCACGTAGAGGCAGAAAGACAGCCAAGGCAGGGGAGACCAGAGGGTGGGGACTGGAGGGAGGCTCAGACCGAGTCTTGCTTCTATTGTGACAATGGCAGGCATTACTATTTCATGTGTCAGTATCAAACTGCCTGGTCTACATAGCAAGTTCCAGGACAGTCAAAGGAACACAGAGGAGCCCTGTCTCAAAACAAAACAAACAAACAAATAGAAAAGAACAAGGTGAACTACCTAGTCAAAGCACTCAGAACAAGGCCATAGGCATGGAAGGAACGGAGCAGGGATAGGTGTAGAATGGGTGTGGCCATTATCTTAAAGAGAATATAATTTGGAATAAGATCATACAGAAGTGGCTCAGCTAGGTTTATGGCCCTGTGTGCTTCCTGCATCCTTGGTCTATAAATGCTGGATGGAGGCGTCCAGGGTAGGGGCTGAAATATCTCCAAAGAGAAGGATAAAGATATCAGCGGAGTCCTGAGGAAACTGGGGGATATAGCAACTGATCCTGAGGGTTTGGATTCAGACCCCTTCCTGTGTATCAGTGGGGTATCCTCACCCCCTTCAAGGGCAGAATGGAGCATCCAGGTCAGTACCAATGTATTCCTAAGGAGTCAACAACTGAAATCCTTGGCCGTCTTTCTAGAAGACAGCCTGACCATGTTCTTACCCAGTTTAAATTCCAGCTCCTGTTTCCCTTAACCCAAAGCTCCCTGTGACTGATGCCTCCTCTCTCTGTTCTGCCCAGGTTTGCAGGCCATCACAGACCCCAGCTTTATGTTCCTGTGTAACATCACCTGAGTGTCCCCACTGACGTGAAGTATACAGGCGCATCAAGTGCCCAGACCTTATGTGCCTGGTGTGGGGATCAGCTCATAGAGCAGAGGCCATATGTAGGCTTGTCCTGAGCATGCAGAGGAGGCATTTTCAGAGAACATCCCAATAGGCCTGGGCCAGAGGCAGAAGGGAAACCCTAGGAGCAACCAACAAGAGACTCTGAGAGCAGAGATCTGGGGACACCTCCACCCCTGCAAATGCTGCAACCACAGTTGGCTGAACCATAGCAAGAAGCAGAGAAGCAGCCATTCTGGTCTGTTGCTGGAGAAGCTTCTGGAACTAGGGAAGGATGAGCACTGTGTGGGTGAGGAGGGGACACCAGGAAGCTGCGGAGGAAAGGACCATCTGGTGAAGGGGAAAGCTCCTGAATGGCCCAGCCCTGGCTGAGAATTCCTCTGCCAAGGATTCAGAGATCTGAGATGAAGAGGAAGTGAGTTTAGCCTCGGTGCCAGCAGACTGTTTGAGGCAGAGGAAGAGCCCCAGGCAGAAGGATCAGGAGACAAAGATTCTAGCCCTAACTGCCACCAGCCCACTGGGGGCACCATGCAAGCCCCTTCTCCTCTCTGGGCCTCCGTTTCCCTATTTGAAGTGAAAGGTTACCAGTATATTTAGCCTTAGAGTATTATCCACCCCATCTGGCCTCCTGAGTGTCTCTGGATCCTGGTCCCACTTGGCTCAGCACCTCTCAGGCTTTGGAATTGCAATACTGCACAGTGAAACCCAGTTTAGGTGGGGATGAGCCCATGTGCCCGGTGCTAGGGTCTGAAAGAGCCCGAAGTCTCCAGAGGACCATGCTTCTCAGATCTGGGTGAGCAGAGTCCCCTGCGATCCCCGAACACCAAGCCTGTATGGACTTGGGGAAATACATACTTCCTAAGGCTGTAGCTCAGGGGAAAGCATGTGGTTCATTGGCTTTTTCCCTCATTAGATCCAACCCAACCAGGGCCATTCTTACAGGTCTGTACCTACTTCATTAGGGGACTCACCATTGGAGGAGTCCGATGTGGTCCAAAATGCACAAAACAGACCCCTGCTTATCCTGAGGGTGGTCTGCCCAGCCTGCGCCTGAAGTAGCTACTGTCTCTGCTTCCTTAACTTCAGTCTTGTGGAAGGAAAAAGATCCTCTCTGCCCGGTCCCTCAGGCAGCCATAGATGGACCCCACAGTCTAGCCCAAACACCCACTTTCAGAGACTCTCAGAGGCCCAGTGGAAGAGGGCGCTCCTTTGAGGTCATCTCTCTTGGGTGAGTGAAGGCGGGTGTAGGATGAAGTAACCCAAGAGCCACAGGCACAGTTGGAGACAGTAGATCCTGAAACATATCTTTGGCTCACATAGAGCAGTGACCTTGTGTGTCAATCAAAGGCTGGCCTCTGGAGTCAGGAGCCAGTGTTCTGGGTTCTAATCTCAGCAACAAATATACTGCCTTGCCTTGTGGCCTTGGCAAATGATGTCTCTTTGAAGACAGCCTCGGTTTACCCCTTTGCGCATTGTAGGCTTGGCCCTGGCAATAGGTGCCCCTTGGAAGCACCATTCAAGGTTCCAGGGGTAGGTGCTACACCCAAACCACTAATGTTGATCTAGATCAGATCCACTCTGGCTCCCCAACCCTGGTCCAGAATGGAGACCTGCAGATGTCTGGTTGTACATCTCTAGATGGCCAAGTACATCATGGTGTCCTCTGTCAGGTGTCATCACGACTGGGCAGAGGGTCCAAGGGGCTGCATCCACATGGCTCTGAGGGTTCCTGCCAGTGTCCAGCAGGACACATTTCCATCCAGAAGCCAAGTGGCATTTGCAGGCAGTCTAGGAGAGGTTTGACTCCAGAATGTTCCAGAGAGCTGGTGGGCTGAAAGAAGTCTTCAATGGAAGCAGGCAGCGTCCTGGCCATGGAGTCCATGGGGTCCAGAAGTTTGTCCAGAAAGGCCACTGGTCCAGAAAATCCACCTAAGACCTGGAGTTGCTGGGGAAGAAGAGACAGCTGGTACGGAGGCGGAGTTGTCTGGGTGCAGGGCAAGGGAGAGAGAGGAACAAAATGTATTAGTAGTCTGCAGGGTTAAGAAACATGGGGTTTTCCCGGGCCAGGAAGCCAGGCTCCCTGGTCTCGGGCCTATGTCCCCCAGAAACTAGTCATGTGACTCTGGTCAATCACCACTCTTCTCTGTGCCTCAGTTTGCCTTTCAGTTTAGGAAGAGAGCCGAGTTTTCCTGGGATCCCAATCGACTTCAAGCCGTGGCCCAGGAATAAAAGACTTAAACAGGGGCTGAAAGGAGGCCCGAGGGCCGCGAGGTCCTCACCTGGCGTTGTCCCTCTTGTGGCCTTTTCTGTAGGATCTCCAAGCATGAATAGGCCTGGCATCGTGTTTCCTTCCAAGGTTTCTATAAGAGTCTCACCTCTTGGGGGTAGGGGATGAGGGGTTAAGGGCAAGACCTCCTCTCTCCAAGGTTGAAACGTCCCCCCCAAAGGTGAAGGGCATTAAGATGAGAATGGGGTGGGGCGATGGCTCCGGGGGGGGGGGCTTTCAAGGCCGGCCAGGACTCCGCCACTCAGGGGCGGGGGCAGCTCCTGAGCTCTGGCGAAGCCGCCACTCTGCCAGTTGCCTTAAAAAGGCGCCAGCGCGCGCGCATCAGCAGAAGGGCTGCGGCTCTCTTCCAAAATAGGCAAGAACTGGGAGGCCGCGAGAGACGAGCTGCGAGGAGTGCAGACGTCACGCAGGGCCTCCCTCCTCCCGGCCGCCCCCCCTCCGTCTGCATCACGTTGCCATGGCAACGGAGTGCCGCGGTAACAGATGAATGAGCTTCAGCAAGCAGAAGAGCCCACAGAGACGCGCACTTCCTCCGCGTATCAGCTAACAGGGATGCAGAGAGAAGGGATGCAGGCGCAAGCAGAAGGAAAGAGTGCCAGGGCCCACTCATCCCCCACTGATCCTACTGTGTCCCAGAGGCCAGGGGCTATTATGCCTAAGCATCTCTGACCTTATGGTTCAGGGCTCCTCTGTACCCAGGGTTTCCCCTTCCCTCATTCAGTTAATTCTCAGATTCCCGAACTCTGCGGAAAACCTGACAGCTTGTGCCTTAGCGCCACGGCATGGCGGTTCATGAAGCTGCGGCAAGTGTTTGTGGCTGGAGTTTCTTCCGTCTATGTCGCCCTCTAGCGTTGGCGCGAGAGAAAACCTAGGCGTACTGGGCAATTCAATGAAGGACGCTGTGAGGGGATTCATAGGTAACGTCAGACAATACCATGGTAGGCATCCTTCCGTACTTCTTCATTTCATTCTCAAATCATCTCTCTGCTGCAGATTACTATTGCTGTTACCTTTTGCAGGGGACAAATCGAGGTTGAGAGAATCTTTGAGAACTTTGCCCAAGAATCAACATACAGCATCAAAGGATGGCGTCTTCAGAACTCACACAGCATAAAAAAGTTCCTATGACCCTCTTACTTTCTCATGGACGGCTCTTGACCAGCCTCACATGTTCTTGGGATAAGCAAGATGGGACACCTTAAAATTATTCTCGTTTCACAGATAAGATTGGGAGAAGTGAAATGGTTTGCTGGAGAGGATGGAGCCTGGGTCTCTAGACTGCTGATCTCAGAATATGGGGGATAAGGAAACTGGATGGAGTCCACCACTCCCGTGAGACCTCACCCCTTAGGAGAGAATGAGGAGTTCGGTAGAACCCCTTCACTTATAAGAACATGGCCCTCTATCTCCTCACTCTTTCCGTGGAGGTGTAATTGTGTCTACCACACGGCATATTCTCATGCTGTTGTCTTGCAGAGTTACCTGTCTGCTTCTCCCAAACCCTCTACAGAGCCCTTCCTCCCAGCCGATGTTTTGAGCAGACATGCCCACTTACCAGTGAGGAACTACTCGAGGGTCCACCACTTCTTTGCTATTCGGGCAGAGACACTGACTCTATGCAAGTCTTTGGACGTCAGCAGCTTGTCCTCACTAACTTGTATTTGTATCGAGGCATCTGGATGAGGTCAGCTTGCCCTCACTAGCTTGTATTGGGGCATTATGTTCACCATATTCACCATCATTCAATTTGTAAACTTTGGCCATGTAGTTTGGGTATTTATTATCTGGTTAAGTTTTAAAGTGGGATTTCATAGAAATTCAAAACTCGTGCTTGCCTTGGTGCATTTCCCCCCATTTTTGTTTGTTTGTTTGTCTGTTTGTTTGTGACAGGGTTTCTCTACATAACCCTGGCTGTTCTGGAACTCTTTATGTAGACCAAACTTGTCATGAACTCACAGAGATTCATCTGCGTCTGCCTCCTGAGTGCTGAGATTAAAGATGTATGCCACCATGTCTAGCTTCCCCATTGTTTTTTAAAAAATATTTTAATTTTAAAAGATGTATTTATTTTTATTTTATATGTATGAGTGTTTGCCTGTATGTATGTGCACTATGTATATGCAGTACACATGGAGACCAGAAGAGGGCATCAGAGAGAACTGGAGTTACAGGAAGTTGAGAGTAGTCGTGGGGAGCTGGAGCAGAACCCAGGTCCTCTGCAAGGGCTGCAGGTACTCTTAACCACTGAGCCATCCTTCCAGCCCTTCCCACCTTATTATTTTTAACTCATGCATTTAGGGGTGGCCACGTTCTGACTCAAACCATTGAAGGGAATCCAAGGGTCTGGTTGTATCACTAACTGAACTCACCAGGCAAACCCTGGACTGACTTCCAGAAGCCATCATACCTTATTAAGGGAACACACCAATGTAGTGAACTCTTCTCTTTTTTTAAGCCTCGATGCCTCTGCTTTGCTTCTTTCTTCCTTAGGAGGATTTTCTACCAATTCTGGAAGGCTGTGAAAATCCATGCAGAAGTGATTTTATCCAGACATCCCCAGGTGTGTCACCAGGTGGCCTCTCTTGAAGCTTTCCTACCATTTCCCTTGACCAATTTCTCTCCATCTGGAGGCATCTTCTGACTCTAGATACAGCTTCTCTTATAAGGGTTGTGGTTACAGTTGCCCTATGGCTCTTCCCTGCCTGCTGGCAGAGTGGCTTCTGGGACATCCACTGGCTTTGAGAAGGCTACAAGGACATTGCAGTTTGGCATCAGTTGGTAAGCATCACCCTTGAATTGTAAAGGTCAAGTGTGATTTTCCACCAGCATCCCATCTCTTCTGCTGAGGCTCCCAGTTTGCCCCACGCCCAGGTTTTCAGTGTGGCCTACCAGCAGCGACTTCCATCCTTGCTCTGATGAAGTACCAGTTAGGGACTGCTTCAGAGAGAAAGTATTTACTCTGGTCCACGTCTCAGGGGTTACAGTCTGTCCGAGTTAACTTTATCAAATCGAAACAGCCTAGAGTCATCTGAGAAGAGAACGACAATTGAGGAATTGTCTAGATCTGATTGGCCTATGGGCGTGTCTGTGTGTGTGGGGGGGGTTGTCTAGATCTGATTGGCCTGTGGTCAAGTCTGGGGGGGAGGTTGTCTAGATCTGATTGGCCTGTGGGCATGTCTGTGGGTGATTGTCTAGATTTGATTGGCCTGTGGGCATGTCTGTGGGTGATTGTCTAGATTGTTAGTTGATGGGGGGAGGGCGGCCCACTGTGCACCTTCTCTGGGCAGGTGGCCCTGGGTTGTATATGAAGGCTAGCTAGGCATGCACCCTTGAGTGAGCCAGCAAGCGGTGTCCCTCCAAGGCTTCTGCAGTAAGTTCCCATCTTGAGTTCCTGCCCTGACTCTTCAACAGTGGACTGTGAGTGTGGAAGTAGAGGCTGAAATAAACCCACTCTTCCTCTAGATTTCTTTTGGTCAGAGTATTTTTGTCACAGAAAGGAAAGCAGAACACCGTTCAAGGCAGGGAAGGAATGCAGGTGGGGTCAGCTCATTGCTTTGGTTATAGTGTGTCATCAGTCAGGAACCCTAGAGTTTGGAACCAGAGTCACACTGCAACCCAAAGGCCCATAGCACGGACTTCTTCCAGGTAGATCCCTCCTCCTAAAGGTGCCACAGTCTCCCAGAACAGCCACGAGCTGGAGATCAAGTGTTCAAATATCCGAGCCCAAGATGACGGAGGGGTATCGTGAATCCAACCCATATCACAAGGGTTTCTAGTTTCTACCAGCAGGACCTGGGCTAAGCATTGTCAACGTGAGCCATGTCTACAAATTCTGACAGTCCAACCCTAATGAGCCAACACGTTGCCACCTTTTGATGAGAGATGATTTTTCCATATTATATCTATAGTTAGCGAGTCAATCTTTGTGGCACTGGGCAGTTCAGATACGTTAGTTATTGGGGTTTGTATCAGTTAGCTATGGCTTTGTAACAGATACCCTTCCCCCAATACTATAACTTAAAAGTCTACCCATTTTTATTACACATAGCCTGTAAATTAGCTAGGATGTTCGTAGGGTCTCTCAGATGTTTGGGGTCCGCTGCTGCAGGCTCCTGGCAGTCTAGGATAAGACGGTTGGATTTTCCTCTACGTTGTTTTCTTTCTCCAGTGGCCTCGCCAGACCTCGCCCCTGTGGAACAAGGGACAAGTAGCTACAACCCTTGTGAAGCCAGTTCGTAAGACCAGCACAGTACTGCTTCTCTCACACCCTACTGACCTGAGTCCGGCTGAGAAGACAGTACACAGATGAAGCATATAGCGTGGATCTCATTAGTCCATCGTGGACCTGATGGCTTCCCCAGCTGGCTGATTCTGTTGACCGTGAAAGATCCCTGCTTAGACTTTGACTTGCGGTGGGGTTGTTATTCTGTCCCGTGTGTGGTGCTAATGTTATATGCCAATAGTTTAAATATAGTTTTGCAGCTGTTTATTCATTTGTCTATTCAGTGTCTGAGCGCACCTGCTGCAGTGCCCTTGTGGAGGGAGAAGACTTGAGGGATTGGTTCTTTCCTTCTACTCTATGGACTCCAGGGATCAAGTTCATGCCAACAGGCTGGTCAGTAAGCAACTGAACTCCCGTGTGTGTGTGTGTGTGTGTGTGTGTGTGTGTGTGTGTGGGGGTGAGAGAGAGAGAGAGAGAGAGAGAGAGAGAGAGAGAGAGAGAGAGAGAGAGAGGGGTGAGAGAGAGAGAGAGAGAGAGAGAGAGAGAGCCTTTCTATGTAGCCCTGGCTGTCCTACAACACACCACATAAACCAGACTTAAACTCACAGAGATCCAACTGCCTTTGCCTCCCAAGTGCTGGGATTAAAGGCGTGTGCCACCATGGGCCACTTTGAACCTATAGAAATATTATAAATGGGTTCTGAATTCTTATTAGGCTTCACAAGTGCCATCCACAGTAGAGAAAAATGAACCCACAGAACGTAATCATTAGCAGCTATACCTTACTGCAAGTGGTCTGGCAATATCCATGCATCATGCCTTTAGCTGCAAGTATCAGAGAACCATCCCAAAGTGACTTTTGCGAGATTGAGTGAAGGGAGGGTGGTTACTTGTTTTAGGCAGGTCTGTGTATGTATGTTCAAGTGCAACCTCCTGTGCATATGGGAAAGTCAGAGGTTGGCATCTGTGGCTTTCTCTGTCACTTGCTCCTTGTGCTATGTAAGGCAGGGGGAGGTAAAGTGGTTG